TATTGGCTCTTTCGCAGTTGGTTCGTGGCCGCGCACGGTCACCGTCTCACGTATAACAAATAAATGAGCCACATGAATACAACTTTTCTTATGTCATTTAACATTCATGCAGTTATGCCATGTTGTTATGGGGTAGATACTTTAATTAGTAGTATACGCCTAGAAATGAACGATAACACAGATTGCATAATGTACTCTGGCAAACATGCCACGTGATAATAAAACCCGTATATCACAACACGTTCCTCGCGACACAATAAGTGCTCGCAAACATGACGCCATTCCTGAAGGAATATAAATGAAAAGAAAATTATATTAATGAATATGCAATTGAAAAACAAATGTTTATTAAGTACCAATATTTCATCTATTTGACACAAAATCGTCACATTGTTTATCATTTGAAAAGTCAGTTAAAGGTCGATAGTCAGTTAGTGGACTATTCTCGAGTAATTGCGACCGCCATTAAGTGCACTGAAGAAACTGCGTAATAAAATCTTAATTTAAGAGCAGACTAAGTTCTACATGAATAATAGAACAAGTTTACCAAAAGTGTTTGAGACAATCGCGGCTACTAACTTTAAGGAATGATTTATCAAGTAAGTATCTGTGACACATGTACGTATCAGGCCTTGGGTTAAAATAATCTACCCCGATGGGAATTCTAACATGTAAATTATGTGCTTGGTTTTTTTTTCCAATCTTGAACATGCCATAAATCAATGGAGAAAGGTTACTGCAACACTGTATTTGGTTTTGAAAGCCCCAAAACTGTACTTGTGGTTAATGTTGTCTATTGTATTGGCGACCTGTTTACATTTTGGAGTACGTTGTTGTTCCCTATTTCACTTGAAAAACTGAACATAAATGTTGGTAATTTCGTCAACATGCTACACCGATTACCTCACTTCTCATTTATGTTATGCACGAGTGGTAAATTTAAGACACGTCACTGTCTTTGTAAACCTCAGATCGAATTTGGATGTTACCGTAAGTTAAGCTGTGGGAAGGTAATAGTTGTGTACGAGTCTATACGAAAAACGCACTACTGATTTTGTATGTTGGTTTCATCGCCAATGTCTAAACGAGAAACCAATGGATACTATGTAACAAAGGGATGATTTACAACCACTTCGCCGCCCCCTTTTAGACCACTCCCTTGTCTATACGCATGCCTTACTACTATTATACAAATTACGTTGTATATGCTGAGTGAGCGGGTCAAGGGAGAGACTTTGTGCAGTACTGCTGTAAGCGGGCAAAACAACCCCAACGAATCAACGAACGAGAGCGGTGCGTGGTGGTGCCGTTTGACTACAAATGTGTTTATCGACGACGGAGACGAATGAACCCAGGTGTCGTTGCACCTGAAATGTAGTTTCGTCAGTGCGGTGATTATTAGAATAGTAAAACCAGGTAAGTGTCGGTCACTATTGAAATATTAAGTCATAAATTGCCTTTTTTAAGAGTGACGGCGTGAATAGAGCTCAGGTGAAAGCTTCAACTATATACATAAAATGAAATCAAGAGTTATAACGACCACGTTGGAGCTCGTTTAGATAATACTCAAAACGCGACTTTGTCCAGTATTATATACTGATCGTCGACGCTAGCTACAACAAGTAATGACCGGCGTTACGACATTTTCGAATCATCTCAAAAATCAAGTCTTTCGTAGGTGTCTTGCAAATCGGTGTGGATTGGATGTGTTTATACGACGGTCTGTGGTGTATTGAAAGTATATCTATTGTTGTTGAGTATAATTCAGATCAACAACGTTGAAGACGCTCATCTAGAAGGTGTTAATAACAAAAAACACAGCATTGTCCGTATTAATCCAGCCAAAGCGAGTAAACATAGTTACGAAGCGCGTCGCACGAATATGCTTCTAAGGCTTCTATATGTTTAGTTTAATCTACTAAAATCCCCACATTATAACAATACCCGTTACTTCTCGTATATACATGTGCCAATTAAATGTGTATGTTTTATAGTCGGATTATTCGACTGCCATTCACCCAGTCATTCAAAGACGTATACCTAGTGATACTATGCATTGAATCTTCATATGCCAATTAGACGACCACTTTTCAATCTGTATTAAGGCAGTCCCTCATCGCTTGTGGTATCAGCACAGTCCCCCACCACTTATGATATCATAGATAATATCTGTAATTGCTCTGATAATAACTTTTTGATTGAATTTCATTTTTTACTTCTTGAAAACTACACGTCAATGTTATTAAGCTGTAAAAAAGTACACTCTATTTTCAGTTATACAAACAAATTCAACAGGTGTCAGGTTTTTTTTGCAAATAGTATACGGCAATTCTGAGACAAAAATAGTGATAATAGAAATTAGCAAATACTATTTTTATGTCTAGGCATTCAAAATAATTTAATTTGGAGAAGAATAATTGATGTATTGTTGTATCAATATGAAGGACAATATAAAATATTTATAATAAGTTTTAAATGGTATCAGTTACCACAAAAAATGGAATGGAATGGAATGGTTGAAACAAAGTAACACTCTCAAGAAAAAATACTTGGAACAAATTTATGAATATGCTCTTTCAATTATTAGTCTATGGAAATCGTAATTACTAATTACCACAGAGATGTACATTGTTGTTGCCTCCTCCTCGTAGCAACTAAAATGCGTAATAGTAATAATGATAATGATATAACAGTAAT